CTACCATTTGGGCGGGCTTTTTCAGCGTGAACCTAATTATCTTGGGACGGTTCGGTTAGTAGACGGGGACACTGTGACGATTCAAGATGTCTTCAAACAACCCCATCCCAAGGGCTTGACGAACGTTGGGACGATCTCACACGAAAAAACTCAGACACAGGCGACCGTTTCCTGACGCGTCGATCGGTTAATATTCCGCCCAAGAGTAGTGCCTAGTGATCCATACCCAGTGTCCTTCAACCAAAGCGTGTCATGAAGTAGAATAGCAATCTTAGAATAACCGGTTGATATTCCCCATCATTTTTCTCCTCCAGTCCACACGAGTGAAACTGAATAAGCCTTCTACTGAAACAAAACTGCTCTACAACGTCTATCTGGTCCTAAATTCATCCGCAACTAATCCAGTTGAAAACTGCCCATAATAATTTACGCACTTTATCTTCACTTGTTACTATTACTATGCCGTGCTGACAACGGGGGTTTGTGACAGGGGTTAACGGCGAAATTTCAGTCAGCCACTGTTTCCCATCAATCTTCCTTTCCGTATCAACTCACAGCTAGGGCAGACCAATGTGATTCACCTACGTGCCTTTGACGTCCTGTTGGGGACAATATCATCTATCTGCTTATCTGACCACTAAACTCCCAACATCTTTTTGAACTGTTGGTTCAGGTCCAACTAAGTGAGTTGAGTGAATGCAGTCTGTGGTATCTCGTTCGGTTTGAGCTCCTTTTCGAAAAATAAACCCATCTCTATTCATCTACAGCTTCGGAAACCAATGTCACTCTTAACTTGAGGTAGTGTCAAGATGAAATTGCAGAAGTTTGTAACACAAGCTCTACTCATCTCTCCAGGATTTATGCCTTTGATTGAATTTGGCTGTACGGTCGCAGGAAAGATGCGTATCCGAAATCGCCCGACTTAAAAGTCGAGGACTGTGTCCCAAGAAGGGCGTAGAGCTGTCAAAGCGTTCTTAGTCACCTTACGATTAGTTTTCTTCATCGAAAAGCAATTGCTGATCACGCTGGTGAGAGACACGATTTCTGTGTCAATCAACCACTTCAATAGCAGCGATGCGAATATTAGTAAGAAGTATTGTGGGCCATGAATCAAAGTTGTTCACCTAGCCTTAACCCTAATGAACGTCATCCGAATTTTATAAGCCTGTCAAACCCACCCACTGTAATCACGGCCATTACGTCGCCGATACCGTAGCATCAAGAGTCATCTAAAAAAATGCAGCAAGCTACACTAGGTAGATTGTGGTCCCGACTATGACGGACACACTAAATGTCTTTTCGGAGGTATTCTCTAAAAAACGCAACTGTTTTGTGGGAACAGTCAAGATAGATAGGATCACGCACACTCTGATTTTATCCGTGCCATAAAGTATCATTACCCGGATCAACATTGTAGATTGCTGGATGGTTGAGGAAAGTTTGCAGCGATTTCGAAATATATTATAGCTCGTCTGTCATATTAGATGATAGATTTATCGACAATGATGGGGAGAGATTGCAGTCAGCATAACCCCTCGATTGAGAACTTACGGATAATATCCATATATTTTAGCTTCCCAAATTACGCACATCAGCAGAGGCTCACAGTACAAAGAGGGTAAAAATTAGACAAAATCTTAGTAATATGGAACGTAGTTTTCGTTAAAGAAACCTTCATGGTGCTAAGGCTTCATAGTTGTTAGCATGAGGGATAGATAACCGAGTCCCGGGGGCTGCGAGTGGAGGGTCGTAAGACAGCTACTGGATGAACGGCAGTACGTCACTGGACGATGACAGCAGGATGCCTTGGGATAAGTTACTAGGGTAGTACAAATGCAAATTCAGGGCAGCTGTTCGGCTTACATCGTAACTACGTCGTACTGAATCGTCAACTGTCATCAGCGAGCTGTAAGCCTGGTACTCAAAATTCTTAGGGTTGATAACTCTGCAAGCGGTTTCCCAGTTGGCCTGGTACGTGTTCAGTACAGCCTAGCCTAATGGATTGGAAAGTCTACAAAATGGTAACCTGTGTAATAAGATAAAAGTATATTACAAACGATTGAAATTGCTCGTGTTGTCTTAACAAATGACCCACCAGAGACAATTCACCACGCTAAATTAGCTAGATTTCACAAGTGATTAACAACGCGCGCAATCGATTGTGACCTCATTCAGGCAACCATCTCAAATTCACATGCAAGTTAGAACTACGTAGTCGGCATTTCTATCTATACGAAACTCTTCAACTGAAGAGGCACTGGACTATCCATAACGAGTCATGTCCTTCGGGAGTGTTCATTTCATTGCTTGGCTGGTGTATTACATGTTGGATGGAATTCAGGGAAGTTCATTTGAGTTGCCTTTTCAGAGTGATTTTTACTAGTAAGCCAAACCAGTGAATATTGTGATCGCTGTTCGTCGAGTGAAACAGCGCATCCATCAAAATTTAAACTTAAATCCTTGTTCTGCGACAAGAAATACTCTGATACTTTGACTGTCCGCCCAAATGAACCCAGAAACAGATTTTGCACCTCATAGCTGGTAGTAGAACAGCATAAATGGCCAATTCATTCGAATCACAATTGGATCTTCAGGATACACACGACTGAATTATGCAACATTAGTGGCTGGCTGAAGAGCCTACGAGCACACCACAAGAACAAATGCATTTCTCATCGACTGGAACAGCTATACAGAGCTTACACACTCAATTTATGTGCTGTGATGGCTGAACGACTCCCACCCCGAACATTGGGAGCACAGGATGAGGAAGGTACTCAGCACACGCATGCATCCGGATTATCCTCCACCAGCTGAATGTTTTAGCTTTGCTCCACTGGTTTCCTGTAGTCTTGTTAAGTTTGTGGACTGCAGTCATAAGATGTGTTGGGCGTACATGCTCCCCAAAGGACATTTCTTGTTCGATTCAGATGAATTTCTTACTTGGTGGGGGTACCCTGTGGTAGAAAATCTTTGACTGGGCAGACTGTTTCACCCACCGAGGTTATTATGCCCTGGAAACTTAGTGCGAGGCTAAACTCACTGGAAAATGCGGTGTTAGACCCAAGGATCTTATCCAATTTAGGCAGAGATAATCGTAAATCTTTAACTGTTTTTGGACCGAGCGTGTATAGGAACGTAAGAACTCGCGACTTCGTCCTTATAGATAATACGAGTCTACCGAGTATTAGTACCCAGTTCAGACCTTCAACCGACCATTTATGATTAAATTGCAAATACCAGATATCAGAAATCAACGACTCGGAACTTTGAACACCAACATAGTCCTATGTTATGCGCCGAATGTTTGAGAGCCAGTGATCATATGGCCTCGAGGACATTCGCTACTCATTGTCCATCCTCGTGCTTAAAAATAGTTTTTTTTGGCACTTCCCAGAACATATTCCTCCACGTCTCAGGATCAGATTAATAGATACAGTTAAAAACGTCCAACTGCCGTGATCATCCTGGAGACTGATTTGATCGTGCGGCTATTTAACTTTTGTATTGAGACTGCAGAACCGCTTCAAAAATGATAAAGTAGGATGCATACCTGATTCATAATGCCACTACAAACCCGGATGACAACAGTGGAAACATTTTCATGCTACTCAAGCAGTTTAATTGAGTTTGATGTTGCGTGTTGTCTCCTCTTTCCCCAGCACGGGCGGCACCCTCCCGACTGACAAGGATGCACACTCGCCGACACCGTGAGTAGAGGGCCGGCAAGATACCCATGCACTAGCTTATTCCAGTGGTCCACTTCCTGGTTTTACGATATAGGCGACACCGCTTAACCCAGTGAGCATGTAGTACTATTTTTCTCTCACTAGGCTAGCCACCAAGTTAGCTTTCCGGGTGCATGACTGATACTTTAGGAATCTTCATCCGCACTAAAATGACGCCCTTCGGCAGGTCATAGTCATCTCAACTCTGCCGCCCACCTCACACAGATTAAAACAGCACCTATGTGTCAAGAATACTAAAACTCATGGAGTTGGACTGCTTCAGATGTTGCGACAATCAGTCCGCGCACGATACCTTTGCTTTCATGGCTGACGGTTTCGCTTACTGTGACATTTTTCAACGGTATAGTGGAATTGCAAAAAAATCAGGGTGAGCAGCAAGACGCCGAACACTAGGGATAGTTCAATTCCTTTTTTCACGAAACACAGGACCAAAATACTTTCCACCGTCGGCACTGTTACGCATCATAAATCACTAAGTTAATACAATAGGTCGGAGTGTCATTTCCGGTCGGTCCGGTGAAATCTAGGTAGTCATTGGCATGAAATCCTACCACTGTAGCTCATTCCGGGACGAATGGGCCCCAGCCACAGCATCTAGTTTTTTCTAAACCTAGAGGGCACGACTGAAACTAGGATGTCTCAACCCATGAAAGCATTCGGAAGTTAAAGGCTTTCTACCATTGGTACCTGAGGATTACTCTGAAAACAAGGTGGCAGTTCGAATCACCTTGGCATTTCACAACTGCATGTACTCAGAGACGCCGCCTGAGACAGTTTGGACATCCTCCTTTGCAGACTGGACGATGAACTCGTGGGAAAAGTTCCCAACCCAAATCTCCGAGGGTGTAAGTTGCCATCAGGGCAACTGAATACAGATCACATCAAAGGCTGAGCAACTGGGTTACCAGTGTGTCTACAGTATCCGACAAAGTCAAAACTAGGTTCCGAGCCCGCTACCTATTTCCGGATGTAGACACCGGTGATGCGGAACGACCAACCTCAGTTAGTTAACGGAAAAGGGTCTGGCATTCTGGACCAACCGTTTTCGATCAGTCCCACAGTAGTCTAATGTCAATTCTTTTGGGGAACCATACGTTCCTGGTATTAGAAAGTTTCACTTAACGCGATGGATGATGGACGCAATCGGTTACATGTAAGCACCTGATACATCACCCGTGATGTATCAGTCGAAGTACTGGGATCCAACTGCTGCCAGCTGATTCCAATGAAAACAATTCTAACTGGTAGCATATCACTCTTGTTAGCTCTTTAAAAAGCGAGGTTATTCTCAAACTTTGCATATCCAATAGACCAACATAGCCTAAAAAACGTTAAAGTATGCAATATAGCAAGGGAACTTGGGATTTTTACAATATACACGGTTGGGCGGTAAATCTGAATCAGTAGTACAAAATGCACAAATGTGGAGCGCACGGAAAAGAAAGGGTGAGGTGCTGTCCCTGATTTCCTGGGTAGTGTGCAGGTTGCATAACACTGCAACCAACTGCCAAGTTTCGACCGAATATTCGTTCAAAGAAAGTAGTCTGGAACCGGTTTACGGACTGGGATGTTCCGAACATCCTAAAAAGCAAGAAAAAAAATAAAGAACACGAAATACGCATAAATACCAGAAGCCTCTGCAGTGAGCTGTCGTACCCAATAGGTGGTGGCAACTGGTAACAAAAACGGAATCTATGTTCCGTATTCGTGAATGAATAGACCATGTGTTCATTTGCGAATACGGAACACATATCTCACACTTACACCAGTTGCCACCAGCTGTAGGTGGTGTGAAATCGCAAATGTCATAGTTCAACCCAATCCAGTTACCCATATTTAGTGTCTTTGTGATGCGATTCGTATCTAGGTCGGAGGTATTTCTATCAACTAGCCATGCGTGCAAAAGCTTGAAATGTTGAAAAGCTCAACCATCGCTGCCGTTCTGTTCGAAAAAAGGTTTTAGGTGAACTGAAGTTATCAACGGTGAGGTTAAGTAGTGATTTGAGGCAGAAGTTCGTTTCCCGTTCGAGCCTGTGGTTTGAATTACTGTAATAAAAAGCAGGAACCCTGGAGTGAGGCTGCTACAATAGCTCTAGAGAGACATGATGATCTCAACCTAACAGTGGATGACTGGCAGCACCCTACAATTTTGTAGATGGTAATGGTAAATTCGGCTGACAGCCCCACTTTCCGAAGAACTGGAAAGATTAGATCGTTTCATAAGTGTCACACTACTCAGTTCAGCGAGTACTAATTCATGAGATTATACTCCCAACACGTGATTCAGAGTGCACTTTACATCTTTAAAGACAAATCTTGGTAAAGTTATCTCAGGTAGTAGAAGAGATCGGTGAATTTACCAGGTCCTTCGTGTTGATCAGGACAGCGGCATTAACAATAAGTCAAGCTCATTCGGAGGCGATGTGATAGAGGTAGTTATGAAAAAAGGCTTCACAACATCACAGAGCGATCCAACTGCCCCGCGCGAGCTGACTGTCAGTGATTCCCGCTCGGAAGCGCATCTAGTGACCTTTTGCAGCAGCACAGCCCTCCAAACAGTAATGAGTCAGTCCAGTTTGTCCATGATAATAAACAAGAATAATCGTCCAGCTATAATACATTTCAGTGTGTAGCCGCCATACCACCCGAAGGAAGCAAGGGGCTGAGGTACTGCCAGGTTGCCCGAGCCTACACAGGAGCAGTCGTTGTTGGGTTTGAACCACAGATCTTACGGGTAGTAATTTCGCACCCTGAGCACTGAGCTATCTCGAGCTAAGTGGGTTCACCTATCATATCAAAACACGCGGATTCACCACAGCCTACCAACGGACGAGTCTTATTAAGGACAAAACACGTTTGGCAGTGCTAGTCTCACCCAAGTTCCGAAAGACTTCTTACTATCGACCATTTGCATCCACTCCGTAAGATACTGCTTTAAATCCCAAACTCACCACGTAAACACCACAGCCTCAGTATGATATTGAAAATAATCCGAATAATCACAAGCCAGGTTCTGAACAAATCCAAATAGTAAAAAAAGCCAACACCTCAAGACCCTTAACCTAGCTCGAAAATATGGTCGGCGGCATGTGTGGTGTCGAAGTTGAGCACTTCGAGTTGGGCATTAGGTTATTGATCTTACTTAATAGCCTCGGTAAATGTGCCACAATTGCTCTTTTGGAAACGACAGAGTTTTCCCCATAGAACTGGTTGTGGTAAACAACCATATTCTTACATAGATTAGTTGTTTTCTGGCTAAGTCCGGAGGATGTGAAGAGTTTGGGTACAGCGATTCAACAAAACAGTGAAGTGTATGGTGAAATGACTTGCATTTCAGTGGGATATAGTCAGCCCTAAGAAGCGATCACTACGAGTTGCACCTTGATTGGAACATAATAGGATGATGTATTAGGATCAACCGTGACGCATTGATTCAGCGTCAACTGCCACAAAATCACGCGGCCACTAACCAAACCTGAGTTCATAGCGAATTCGAACTGAAGCGACTTTTTAGTTTAGCCAAATAGCTTTTCAGGATGAGATGGCTGAGTGGTTAAAGCGCGAATTTGCTGACCCGGGTGGTTCGAACCCGACCTCTGCCTCTCGATTTCCCCTGTCTAGGCTTGGGCAACCTGGCAGTATCCCAGCCCTCGTGCTCCCTTTGGGTGGCATGGCAGCTAGGCACCGAAAGGGGGCTACAGCTGAACGATTATCTTATCTTCATGGTTCTTAGATCAAACTCATGGTTTGTAAATTCGGCGTAGATCAGATCCTCCAGAAAATCATGAAGTGTAAAGCCACCCGAAGGAAGCACGAGGGATGGGATACTGTCAGTTTGCCCAAGCCTAGACAGGGGAAGTCGAGTGGCGGAGGTCGGGTTCGAACCACATATACCTATCCGTATCGACAACACAATCAGTGTTGACGCAGGTGCTTCCTCACCATACAGTTTTAAGCTTGGCTTCACAGTGGGAAGAAGAATGGGTAGGGAAGATGAAACTGCATGGGTTTACCACAACCCTCAAACTCTCACTCAGACAGTCAGAATAGATAAAATAGAGGTCTGAAAACTTCACTTGAAACTTAGTGCTGGAAGCAGGGTTAATATACTCTGGAAAACCAAGAAGCACAGCACAACTGTTCTATCCCTTTGAGTTATCAGCAGCGGGCAACCAACAAATATGGATAAAAATTGACATCAGGGGTGCTATTGGAATCTGTTGATCGTTACATCTTGGAAAGAGGAACGCGCAAACAGCATAAAAACTCATGCTCCTTCATATTAGTCTGCCACCCTGCCCATCTTGTTTTGAGCTGTTCTAAAGAAAACGTCGTCTCGGTGGACGATGAGTCCGAATAGCGTATGGCCGAGACAAGAGGGCTGATGGTGTTAGACGTTCCCGCAACTGCTTCTTACCGCCTGCTGCACAGGTAATCTTTCGTTTTCTATGTGAGCTCGCTGACACCATCTGACACTAGCTACGGTTGAGACATCTGTGATCAAACACCTGACGATGTTCCACATTCGCGGACAGAGACCACGACTGTCAAACATTCACAAACAGCTCGTACAGCTAGATTGATCTTCGAAGGGTTCGGTCCATGTTTCTGATTGACGTTTTTGCGAGTGAGTTAATGAGCCATTTTCCCAACCTATCGCTTAACTGACCGCTGCCTTCCTAGGGCAGCCAATCATATCAGTTGATATAGGGCATGGCTGTTTCAGGATTCGGGTCTTCTCCATCTCCTGAGCCTTTGTTGTCCACCAGAGTTCTTTTCCTCGGGCCCTTCACTAGTTGGCGTTTGAGGATTTGCGTGCGTCGTCGTACTCGTTACCTGCTGGTATGGATTTTCCGGCATCAATCATGACTAGCAATTTCGACGACGGTCAAATGACCCAGCAACATCTGCTTGTGTGGTGGGAAGGGACATCGGTGGACACAGAATTGTGAGGGAAAATGATACCTCCCGGTTGCTCAGACCGAGGACGGGGCTTGGCTGAGGTACCCCACCTTGAATCCTCGACTTAGAAGTCTGACCCACAAGACAGTGGGAGGATAAAGGGTTAAGTTTGGGGACCCTGCCCGTAGCTTCTGACTCAAGTTTGACCCGGGAAGTAGCGGGCAGTAGGCTTATTTGGGAACCTTTACCGTCGGTCCCGGGAAGGGTCCCTACTCGACTGCAGGAGGTTGGCTTAACCCTATGGCGTAGGGATTGAAGCATTACTGTCTCACTCCTGATGTGGCTGCGCGCAGCAGGTACCTTTGGTTGTAAAAGTGTTTCAACAGTATTAAATGATGCACTGGCGGTCACGGCCAACCGTTGAGAGATCGGGGTGTGCGGTTTTTGGGGCCAACTTTTTCTAACCCGCCCTTAATTGGGGGAAGGCAGTATCGCTGCTTCCATTGATATGGACATACTGGTCACTCTGAGGGAAGCATCTTACTGCCTGTCGCAGGGGAAAGTACGACCTTACCCTCAGACCGCCTTGTAGCACGATTGCTCGTTCAGCTGTAACACCTTTTCCGTGCCTATTTGCCATGCCACCACGAGGAAGCACGAGGGCTGGGATACTGCCAGGTTGCTCGAGTCTAGACAGAGGAAGCCAAGAGGCAGAGGTCAGGTTCGAACCACGGACCTTCCAGTCAGTAAATTTGCGCTCTAACCACTGAGCCATCTCGTAGTACGAGGTATAGCTGCTCTCAGTCTGATCACTCCTCTTTAACCTTCCCCATATGGCTGCAGCAAGCTAGTCCAAGCCGCGGGATCATTGGAGCACTCAAGTCCGACCATCACGTCAAGGTGGCAGCTTTGGGTCAGGATGGAGATATTTGATAGGGTTACTATCGTTCGTAGTTCAACGGGAAGAGATGCGAGATGAGTTGCTGCGTCTGCATACATAACTTATGAGAGTAGATCAGGAAACACTCCGATCCCACAAGTGCCAGATGAAAGGCAGTTTTTCATGACAACACTGACGGTGAAATGGAGAAAGGGACCCAGAGGGATCATGCCTAACATAACTGGATATGGTGAACTTGGTCGAGCGTTTGACATAGTCCTTGAGAGTCCACAGGAGTTGGTGTACAGCGCTCGTGGAACTCACAAGTTCCTGTAGGGTACACTTTTGTTCTACAGATATTATTGGGCCCGACGATCAACGGGATCGAAGACAGATTTCATATCAGGAAAAATCGTTGGCGATTTGCCAGAGAGTGAAGGATTCGACCTCTGCACCCTTACAAAACGAACTAGGTACGACTTTCATGGATATCTCTCGCTACATAAATTCAGTCGACCTACGGATCTTGGAAGCGACGAACATCAGGCTGGTGGCGACCTTTTGAAGATGGAAATAGTTGTTTAGCATGCCCATTTATAACAGGATTCGGGTCTTCTCCATCTCCTGAGCCTTTGTTGTCCACCAGAGTTCTTTTCCTCGGGCCCTTCACTAGTTGGCGTTTGAGGATTTGCGTGCGTCGTCGTACTCGTTACCTGCTGGTATGGATTTTCCGGCATCAATCATGACTAGCAATTTCGACGACGGTCAAATGACCCAGCAACATCTGCTTGTGTGGTGGGAAGGGACATCGGTGGACACAGAATTGTGAGGGAAAATGATACCTCCCGGTTGCTCAGACCGAGGACGGGGCTTGGCTGAGGTACCCCACCTTGAATCCTCGACTTAGAAGTCTGACCCACAAGACAGTGGGAGGATAAAGGGTTAAGTTTGGGGACCCTGCCCGTAGCTTCTGACTCAAGTTTGACCCGGGAAGTAGCGGGCAGTAGGCTTATTTGGGAACCTTTACCGTCGGTCCCGGGAAGGGTCCCTACTCGACTGCAGGAGGTTGGCTTAACCCTATGGCGTAGGGATTGAAGCATTACTGTCTCACTCCTGATGTGGCTGCGCGCAGCAGGTACCTTTGGTTGTAAAAGTGTTTCAACAGTATTAAATGATGCACTGGCGGTCACGGCCAACCGTTGAGAGATCGGGGTGTGCGGTTTTTGGGGCCAACTTTTTCTAACCCGCCCTTAATTGGGGGAAGGCAGTATCGCTGCTTCCATTGATATGGACATACTGGTCACTCTGAGGGAAGCATCTTACTGCCTGTCGCAGGGGAAAGTACGACCTTACCCTCAGACCGCCTTGTAGCACGATTGCTCGTTCAGCTGTAACACCTTTTCCGTGCCTATTTGCCATGCCACCACGAGGAAGCACGAGGGCTGGGATACTGCCAGGTTGCTCGAGTCTAGACAGAGGAAGCCAAGAGGCAGAGGTCAGGTTCGAACCACGGACCTTCCAGTCAGTAAATTTGCGCTCTAACCACTGAGCCATCTCGTAGTACGAGGTATAGCTGCTCTCAGTCTGATCACTCCTCTTTAACCTTCCCCATATGGCTGCAGCAAGCTAGTCCAAGCCGCGGGATCATTGGAGCACTCAAGTCCGACCATCACGTCAAGGTGGCAGCTTTGGGTCAGGATGGAGATATTTGATAGGGTTACTATCGTTCGTAGTTCAACGGGAAGAGATGCGAGATGAGTTGCTGCGTCTGCATACATAACTTATGAGAGTAGATCAGGAAACACTCCGATCCCACAAGTGCCAGATGAAAGGCAGTTTTTCATGACAACACTGACGGTGAAATGGAGAAAGGGACCCAGAGGGATCATGCCTAACATAACTGGATATGGTGAACTTGGTCGAGCTCGACTTAGAAGTCTGACCCACAAGACAGTGGGAGGATAAAGGGTTAAGTTTGGGGACCCTGCCCGTAGCTTCTGACTCAAGTTTGACCCGGGAAGTAGCGGGCAGTAGGCTTATTTGGGAACCTTTACCGTCGGTCCCGGGAAGGGTCCCTACTCGACTGCAGGAGGTTGGCTTAACCCTATGGCGTAGGGATTGAAGCATTACTGTCTCACTCCTGATGTGGCTGCGCGCAGCAGGTACCTTTGGTTGTAAAAGTGTTTCAACAGTATTAAATGATGCACTGGCGGTCACGGCCAACCGTTGAGAGATCGGGGTGTGCGGTTTTTGGGGCCAACTTTTTCTAACCCGCCCTTAATTGGGGGAAGGCAGTATCGCTGCTTCCATTGATATGGACATACTGGTCACTCTGAGGGAAGCATCTTACTGCCTGTCGCAGGGGAAAGTACGACCTTACCCTCAGACCGCCTTGTAGCACGATTGCTCGTTCAGCTGTAACACCTTTTCCGTGCCTATTTGCCATGCCACCACGAGGAAGCACGAGGGCTGGGATACTGCCAGGTTGCTCGAGTCTAGACAGAGGAAGCCAAGAGGCAGAGGTCAGGTTCGAACCACGGACCTTCCAGTCAGTAAATTTGCGCTCTAACCACTGAGCCATCTCGTAGTACGAGGTATAGCTGCTCTCAGTCTGATCACTCCTCTTTAACCTTCCCCATATGGCTGCAGCAAGCTAGTCCAAGCCGCGGGATCATTGGAGCACTCAAGTCCGACCATCACGTCAAGGTGGCAGCTTTGGGTCAGGATGGAGATATTTGATAGGGTTACTATCGTTCGTAGTTCAACGGGAAGAGATGCGAGATGAGTTGCTGCGTCTGCATACATAACTTATGAGAGTAGATCAGGAAACACTCCGATCCCACAAGTGCCAGATGAAAGGCAGTTTTTCATGACAACACTGACGGTGAAATGGAGAAAGGGACCCAGAGGGATCATGCCTAACATAACTGGATATGGTGAACTTGGTCGAGCGTTTGACATAGTCCTTGAGAGTCCACAGGAGTTGGTGTACAGCGCTCGTGGAACTCACAAGTTCCTGTAGGGTACACTTTTGTTCTACAGATATTATTGGGCCCGACGATCAACGGGATCGAAGACAGATTTCATATCAGGAAAAATCGTTGGCGATTTGCCAGAGAGTGAAGGATTCGACCTCTGCACCCTTACAAAACGAACTAGGTACGACTTTCATGGATATCTCTCGCTACATAAATTCAGTCGACCTACGGATCTTGGAAGCGACGAACATCAGATTGGTGGCGACCTTTTGAAGATGGAAATAGTTGTTTAGCATGCCCATTTATAAGGATATTCATCCGTGACTCGATACTAACAAATACAAGATGTTCACTGCTTTCTTCACGGAGAGTTGGGTAGGGGCCCGGTGCCTTGATGCGAACAGTAGAGGCTACCCGTACTTTGTTAGTTTTTTTAATGAATATTCCATCCAGCCTTGTACAGTCTCCATATCGCGCGCGGACCGGCCAAAATGCTTCTGTTTGACGTTTTTGCGAAGGACTTACTGAGCTATCCTTCTAGCTGAAAATCGCCCTTCGCTGGTCGGTGACTCGAATTAGGTGACATCGGACACGACGGTTTCCGATAGCGGGCCCCTTTGTCTCATGAGCACTTGTTGGGCACGAGAATTCCCGGTCTTTCCTCGATGATGTACGGCTTCGACTGATTGTTCGGCTCGTGAGTTATTCATAGTCATCGGCATTGAATAGACCATTCAGTTGAATCTATTTGCACGCGCGAAAGATGCACCGGTTGGTGATGTACAACCGAACGTTCAGCGCGGAGGCTGAACTGAAGTTCAGTTGGGTCGGTATTGAAGATATCGAGGTATCCGTTTCCAGAAGTAATGCTACACACGGGTTTGGTGTTGTCTGATATTGCAGAGGATGTATGAAACTTGATGTTCATCGACTTCAGACGGTTTTGAAGTGTGTCTAACACGTGTTCAAAAAGCAGTCCATTAAGGAAAAGAATCAAAGTAAATATGCCGGTGATTTGTGCTTCCAAAGGCAGAAAAAGTTGAAGGTGAATTGTGTTGGGCGCAACCAAGTGGTGTAATAACGGTAGAACTTACTTGTGAAGCGGCGTCAAATATTTTGAAATCCCGATTCAACCGATCGTCCAGTCTGAGGATTGCTGCAATATTTCCACAGCGATAACAATAGTTTGGTGCCGACCAAACTGTGAGGACGCTTTCGTTGAAGTGCCAACGGTATCCTTCCATTACCAGCTGGTGTGCTCGACAAATTAGATCCAAACGATTCAACTGCAAAACGAGGCGGCATATGAAACCGGGATTTTAGAGAATAAGAGCTGAATGAAGTGGCATGGTCGACAATTGTGCAAGGAAGTTAAGCAGGCCTGAACCGGTAACACTCCTACTACTTTATTAGTCACCAGCTATCCACATTAGATTGAGAGTAGTAGTTACGGAAATCGTGAAGATTGATACACCAAAATAGATTAAGAGAAGAGAATAATAAAACTAAAATGCGACTATTGCGCGTTAATTTTCAGCACAGACCAGCTACATTTAAATAAGCTGCTCAAAAATTTAACTTGAACTAGAGGTCTTCATTATTGGCCGTTGGTCAGCAAACGCTTCATCACCACGCGAGGAGACGTCTTTAGTGCCTATGGCGACAAAACCTCTGCAGGCCAATTGCTAAACTTAACGAACATGCCAGCTGCCACCTGACCGACAGCCAATACACACCTGGGCTACCAATATTTAACTGTATTACTAAGTCCTAATTAGTAAGACGACAGTTTACCGCGTGCCGGTGGTAGTTGGCTTACACCATAACTTCAGAAGTTACCAATGACTAAGCTAGGATAGCTTTATTCGGCGAACCATTCCAGCCCCGTAGGTTTCTTATCTATTAAAACAGGAAAATACATGGCATGAATCTTCAATAGTGGTGTATTCGCCTGCGGCTACGCTGCACACCACACCACTGGTTTTACAGTCGAGTTTGTGCCTACATTCGTTCTTATTTCCGTGCTCGCCGGATTTCCATTCTTGAACTATAATCGCTTTGCCGATGTCGCTGGCACCCTCCACTCACAACATATTGACTATACAACCGAACGATGATGAAACGTTTGCAAGCCACTTACCGAATTCGGAAAATAGATAAAAAAAACCACCCGATCCACTAATGAATGTACTCAAGATAGCTCAGTGGTTAAGACGCGAATTTACTGACCGGAAAGTCCGTGGTTCGAACCCAACCTATGCACCTGGACTGCGCCTGTCTGGGCTTGGGTAACTTGACAACATCTTAACCCTAGTGCGTGGCAGCTAGGCACCGAAAGGATGGACGATTATTATTGTCATTAGACGCACTTCGGTCACCAATATCCAGCCAGGCGATAAATCCCTCCCAGGTTAGAAGATACGATGAAATTTAATGGAATGCGCTGATCTACGGAATCAAACAGCTGCCGCTAAAGGAGTTTAGACAAATACACTGCATGAGTCTGAATACACAGGTTACAACGGCGTCCACTAACAAAATGAAAAGCTTTCGTAAGTGCGACCAAGAGGGACTGATAACATGCCATTTTTGGTTTTAAAGTGGATCTACAACAGAACACCTTGTTCTCTTATTCCGTGAGTTTTCTTGTGCTTTCATCATGCACATTAGTCTTGCTTAACGTTTCGGAAAAGCTGGTGCACAGTAGTATACGGCAGCTTGTTTACAAACCAGAAAAGCGTCACTGACGCAACTGCCTGCCTAATGCACACAATCTAGGGACACCTAAGCGGCAGAGATTAATGTATTATACTGTCTTACAGAGAAGCGACGCTTCTGGTCGGTTTAGTCGAGCTTTAATCTTCGGGGAAGTTTCTGAGACTGATAATCCTGTTCTTATATGACTGTGTTCGACCATAAGCGTAAATGAGTACGGCACTTCGATGAGTTTAACATCGTACTAAAATATGCCTACACACTATCGCTGTTGTGAGGCCTGTTTCCAAGCTTCTGATCAATGGCTGTTGCGGTAGGATATCAATGCCACTTGCAAGGTATTTTTCACAGTATTCTACTGCTCACCTGTTTTCTACCACCTGATTAGAAAGCTGTCGGTCAGTCTTTGGTGATGTGCCACCTAATTTTTCTGGGAAAACCTTGATAGAACAACATTCAGTTGCTGAACAAATCGCGATAAAGTGTTCCACGATGTTCTCGCTTCTCAAACCCAGAACTACAAAATTATTTTCCCGAGTATCACTGGGGGAGCACTAGCTTTGTGCACAAGAACCATTGCCTACAGCAGCTCCACATACACTTATCTGACTTGGATCTAGACTACGTCTGTGTCTTCTGGAGGTGGACTGCTGGAAATGCTAATGGTATGAGGCAGGTTAACGCAAATTTGCATGTTCCCTGGTCCTGAAGATGAATGTCGACGTGTTCTGGGTCGATTTTTGTGTCTTTTACATCCCACCGATACGGACAGTGTAATCAGTCCCCACCTTGAATATAAATTAGTATGGTGTTAGTATGGAAGGTGCTTGAGGTTAATAGGGGTAATCAGACCAAAGTCCTTGAATTAGAATATTGCCAGTCTCCATACCTGCAAGGTTGGGGAAATTTGATGGAACAACCTCACATACTACATACATCGTCTCGGACAACTCACCTGATTGAAACTGGCGACAACATCGGATCCGAACAGGTATCCGGCTCCTCGAGGACTGACACCCCAGCCAAGGGCATCCTCTGGATCAGACCACAGAAGATCGCACATTGGACCGTCATGGGGGACCTCCTGCTTCCGGTCGATTGTTCGTATTTGGTCAAGCGTTGTGATCGTAGGAGAGAGGCCACCGTGGACACAAAATATCTAATGACAGAAGTGAGAGGGAAGAGCCAGTGGTACCGGTATGACAAGTTCTTCGATTTGACCACAAAACTCTGAGTAGGTCGGCGGTTATGAAACGAAAGTACTGAGCAGGTTCATGGGTCGAACCTAACCTTGGCTTCTCGAGTTCTTCTCTTTAGACTTGGGCAACCTGGCAATAGCTCAGCATTCACGCTTCTTTCGAGATTGATGGTAGTTGTGAACCGAGAGGCACCAGAGATGAATGATTATTACTATTTAATATCAGAATTAACAGTGAGTCCATGATTAGGGTTTTTAGCACTCTTGACGCTCTACTACCTAATTGTTTGTTTCTGATTAGGTCGGAGAGACAATTCACATAAGTTTACAACCAAAGTTTTGTGGAACGGAATCAAAGTCACCTACTATAGAACTTCATATAGGTGCAATATACACTAGTCCTTCATATCCCTCTAAATCGCGGGTTTCATCGCTTACTTGGAAGCTGTTGCATTCAGAAGGAGTAGATGTCAAGAAACCGCTCTCTTAAGATATTTTTAACTTACCGACCGAATGTCCGAATACAAGACGTGCAACTGAACCTCCTGACGAGTTTATTCCAGAGAATTAAGTTCCACACATTCTCCTCAGTGTTCGTCTTTGAGTTAAAACCAGAAAGATCCTATGAATATCCGTCCGACTGAACCGAGAAGCAGCCCTTCAAATGTACATTCGGTTTCTGGACATTAGTAACGGCCAATTTATTAGAATGCTAACTGAATTTCCCGTTTACACCAATCAGCTTGCAAACAGGTGTTTTTTTCAACGCCAGCGACGGGACAATCCAGAAGCCCACAATGAGAGAAGGGTGAAGAATGCAAACGTCACGAACTGAAGCACTGTCGAGTTACCAGTGATAGCTACGACGCGTCGTAACTACGCACCCCTCATTAGGGGCACCAAATGCTGCTTAGGTTACTTTTGCACTATTGCCTGCCTCCGGCTTGCGAATGAGCTGGCTCTACTGATCTCTCAGAAGGCGGCCATCTGAAGCGGAATCGGGTCATACGGTAATTTGGTCTTTACTCCAAAGACAAGTCGTGACTGTGATGGCGAGATGACTCAAGTGGTCAGAGCACGAATTTACTGACCAGAAGGTTCGTGGTTCGAACCGGACCTCTGCATCCCGAATCCTCCTGTCTAGGCTTGGGAAACCTGGCAGTATCCCAGTCCTCATGGGTCCTTCGGGTGGCACCGCAGTTGGGTACCGGAAGGTGTTACAGCTGAACGGTGATGGCGACCTAGCTTGTTGACACGGGCTTTGCTTGCATTGAACCACGTTTTGACTTTCTCCGCCAAGCTGACATCGCTAGTCAAAATACTGCGATACTGCAAGCACTTTCCTCATGAGCTTAATGGATGGCTTACATTAAAAGTTTCCAAAATACTGGAGTCAGCGACGTTGTATTATTGCGCTCGGCTTTCCTGCATTGCAGAACCGTTTGCTAACACTTCAGAGACGATCGCGACAGGATACACTGGGTGTTTCTCGCAGGCACCAGTGGTCGGAAATCACTCCCGAAAATTCTCAGCCTTTAATGGTCAGGTCATCATACAGTATAGAAGAACCGGACAAATGGCTGATTGGCAGAGGCGGACCTTGGCCTTTAAGCTGATATGACGCTATCCCCATAGTGCAATTTTTACTGCAGAAAATAGTAAATGCACACTAAAAATGCTTGTAAAAACAGGCTAGGCCAGTAAAAAGCATACGTGATTTGAAGTGTTTAAAGATGACTTGTGCGATCAACCCTCTTTCGATGATAGTGGTCGCGACATTAGGCCCGTATAAGATGAGAAAGGCACCGTCTTTCCGACCTACATCTTAGGTTCATTTTTTTCTAAGGGATGGGGTATCAGGATGATGACGAGTGGTCTACCTGTTTAAGGAGCCAAAGTTGCGGGAACTTACGATTGTTGGCATGCTGTATGTGATTCAGGATAGCTCGGTGGTCAAGCTACTGTCCAGAAGGTTGGTGAGTCAAATTCAAACATGGTTTTAGGGTCTATAAACCAGGCGGTATCTCAACCTTCATGCTTTCTTCGACGTATATGACCACATCACACCGACGGGACACAGTAACAGTGTTTTTGAAAAAGATTCATTCAGACGACCAGCACTGCAACATTTATGGAGGCCGCGAAGCCCCTTGCCTTTGAAGAGGATGGGATACAAAAGATCGGCCGTGAAAAACCGAACCATCTGATCACCACACAATCAGCCGTGGATATCGGGTCCCACTACGAACCGACGCGGCTCTAGAAATATTTGCTGTACATAGCAGTATTAAGAGTCAGGTACTACTGCATTTGATGTCCAGAGGCCAGCCCCGGGGACAAGCGGGCCAGAGTGTTGAGCCAAAGGGTCCCGGAACAACATTGTTTATTTTCCCACTACCTTATGAGCCGCAATTTCAATCCCAAGACCGCAGACAGGGTATCCAAAGCAAACACCCTCGGCTTGAGCGAATAAAATACCTCACTCGATTTCGAATCTCTTGGTTCACCAATGCTCATAACCAAAATCCCTCTCCACCTTTCAGCTACACTATCCAGCCCTCAGTTACTTAGCTGTCGCTCCATTTTTAACTAACCACCACATGGAATACTCAATTGCCAACTTAAAACGATTTGCAGTTTTCGATGTCCGTGCCCTGTGAGATAAGACAAAAGACATTCATTAAGGAAACTTTGACTAGTCCCCCAACCACAAGCGCTACGTCGGCAGAAATGATTAATTGGTAGCAAAGACTCACCGCCATCAGTATGCAGGACCCAAACAGAGCATCAATCCAGCAGGTAGATCTGACCTGCCTCTGGTCTACCAAGGTGAACATTCATGCTTCCCGTTTGTATCGTATCTTTTCACTGTGCCTTGTGAGAGTCCCCTTAGTCTGAATTCGGTTGTAAGTACTGCATAACGAAACCACTAGCTACAGTAAAATCAACGCCCATCCCGCCTTGCCCGTAGGTTGCCACCTTGGGGATCCAGGATAATTGTAAGTGGTAAATGTTAATGTAGGTACCAGATGTGTTTGAATTGCGAGTATTGTACAGAAATCTTAAATTATGGCATCAGAAAGGCAAAGGACTTCAATTGTGGGGACTCATTATGTCGGCTTACTGACCAGATTAAGTGGTGGGTAGTTTAGCCACGACCGTGAAGTGCTACAGCTGAGAAATCAGTAGACGAGAGATTTACGAGGTTCATCTGTACCTCTGATTTATAATATCCTTTAAATGAATATGCTGCACAAGACCACCTTATGTTTCAACAATATCATCATCGGCAGCATATCAGTGTTCAGCACTGATGCTCCGCTGCCATATGGTTGAACCGAACGGCGGCCGATGTGGCATGAGTTTATTTATGTGAAACTCAGGGTTGTACGTAGACCGGGATACTGGCAGAGCACTTAGACCTAGACAGGACTATTAGGGTCCTCAACGAAAGCCTTCGACTCGAAAGACTGACCGCAAGGCAGTGTTCCGCGGGAAATACAAGTGCGTTACCACTTTTATAGGACAAATCGCCATACAGGTTCCAACTCCCAACCTGGGGGACCGAAAGACTGTGTTCGTCAGACCTCTAACCATCGACCAACTTGGTATGGCAGACTCCGAGTGTCACGCGAAGACCCCGTGGTATAGCTCAACGGGTCGCCGGGGTACACAAACCGTCACACCACCGTAAGGTCCAGTCTCTTCGTGACGGAACTTATGTTTCATGTTTAACGACATTCAAGGTATCGAATTTGTTCGCAATGCTTCGGATAGCCCGCTACCAGTTTGACCTCTTGGAACTCAATCTCCGAATTTTTATTGAGGTTGTTTCATACTTGAACATCGGGTCATAAACATGCTGCAGTTGACACGAATCCAAATTCATACCAAGTCAGCAGTCAAATGGAGAACAAGCGCATCACGTATCGTGTTTTGCGGAGATGTCGAGTTAAGCAATGGGCGATCCCTCGATAAACCCAGCATGATGGAGATGTCCTATTTTGTTTTACAACCTCGTAGTTAATAGCTCTACGTGAAACCGTCACACCGACCCTAGTACGACACCGCTGTTAGGCGTATTCGGCACTTTAGGAGCCACCTGACTCGGCCGGAACCCACCACACCCGGATAGCACTGTAGCTGTTTGTTTATTCTTACTCATTTGCCAGAAACGAATTACTCTAAATTCGCCCTCCCCATATTACCACTGGGAGGGGACAGCATCCTATCCACAACCCTGGGAAACTCCGGAGGCCGTAAGCTCTAATCGATCCCGAGTACTTCATGTGCCGGTACTCGGCCGGGATGGTGCACTCTGAATTCTTCAATAAAGGTCAGAAATTCGACAGCCCTTCTGAGAACTATTTGGGGCAAAAACAGAACACTATAGAACCTGTGAACTGCAACTTTTTCTGCTCAATACAATATATTTTTTACCTGTCGATATTGGTTACATCATTGTAGAAAGCTTTAATGAAATACAAAACAACTTTGTTTCTTGGACTCAACGGGAATGCGCATGTCTTGCTGAGTGACTGGCGGGTGGCGGAGCGTCGCGCGAAACAAAAACATTAATCAGTAGACGAGAGATTTACGAGGTTCATCTGTACCTCTGATTTATAATATCCTTTAAATGAATATGCTGCACAAGACCACCTTATGTTTCAACAATATCATCATCGGCAGCATATCAGTGTTCAGCACTGATGCTCCGCTGCCATATGGTTGAACCGAACGGCGGCCGATGTGGCATGAGTTTATTTATGTGAAACTCAGGGTTGTACGTAGACCGGGATACTGGCAGAGCACTTAGACCTAGACAGGACTATTAGGGTCCTCAACGAAAGCCTTCGACTCGAAAGACTGACCGCAAGGCAGTGTTCCGCGGGAAATACAAGTGCGTTACCACTTTTATAGGACAAATCGCCATACAGGTTCCAACTCCCAACCTGGGGGACCGAAAGACTGTGTTCGTCAGACCTCTAACCATCGACCAACTTGGTATGGCAGACTCCGAGTGTCACGCGAAGACCCCGTGGTATAGCTCAACGGGTCGCCGGGGTACACAAACCGTCACACCACCGTAAGGTCCAGTCTCTTCGTGACGGAACTTATGTTTCATGTTTAACGACATTCAAGGTATCGAATTTGTTCGCAATGCTTCGGATAGCCCGCTACCAGTTTGACCTCTTGGAACTCAATCTCCGAATTTTTATTGAGGTTGTTTCATACTTGAACATCGGGTCATAAACATGCTGCAGTTGACACGAATCCAAATTCATACCAAGTCAGCAGTCAAATGGAGAACAAGCGCATCACGTATCGTGTTTTGCGGAGATGTCGAGTTAAGCAATGGGCGATCCCTCGATAAACCCAGCATGATGGAGATGTCCTATTTTGTTTTACAACCTCGTAGTTAATAGCTCTACGTGAAACCGTCACACCGACCCTAGTACGACACCGCTGTTAGGCGTATTCGGCACTTTAGGAGCCACCTGACTCGGCCGGAACCCACCACACCCGGATAGCACTGTAGCTGTTTGTTTATTCTTACTCATTTGCCAGAAACGAATTACTCTAAATTCGCCCTCCCCATATTACCACTGGGAGGGGACAGCATCCTATCCACAACCCTGGGAAACTCCGGAGGCCGTAAGCTCTAATCGATCCCGAGTACTTCATGTGCCGGTACTCGGCCGGGATGGTGCACTCTGAATTCTTCAATAAAGGTCAGAAATTCGACAGCCCTTCTGAGAACTATTTGGGGCAAAAACAGAACACTATAGAACCTGTGAACTGCAACTTTTTCTGCTCAATACAATATATTTTTTACCTGTCGATATTGGTTACATCATTGTAGAAAGCTTTAATGAAATACAAAACAACTTTGTTTCTTGGACTCAACGGGAATGCGCATGTCTTGCTGAGTGACTGGCGGTTGAATGACATTGGCTAGCACCAAAAATTTCAGCTGCAAATACTGGACTTATCCATTCACGTCAGCGGATTAATACTGCGACTACCAGAGGTTTGAAATATCAGGAAAGTAGAACATTATCCTCTTGGTGGGGTGGTTCAATGGAATACGGACCTTCGGAATTTCCGCCTGTGAACTGAGCCAATAATTTTATTGACATTATATCTGACTTACATTGGTAGTTCGTCCTGTTCATTAGAGACTACTTAGGGCTGTTAACCGCCACAACACTAAAAACGGGCGCTTCAACAGTATGCCTCGATGACGCAAACACGTCTACTGGTGGGCAAAAGATAGTTGAACATCACCCGAAGGAAACAGCCTTTATGATTTTAGGCCTTTCTAAGGCTGCACGCAATTCCTCAACCTTAATTTAAAAGTAGTGCATGCCTATTTTTGGTTTCAGATGTCTGAGTCCACCTATATGAGTTTGTTTCAACGCGTGTCCTGACCGCGATTGCATCTTTTTAATCTTTGTAGCGCTTTCGGCGGTCGTTCAACACTACGACGGTTAATATATCTATACAAAGAACGTACTTCGCGCTCCTCCTCAGACATTCGATGTATACTGCGATCATATGGTTATCTGCAAGCGAATAGGTTAAGTCAGATTACGGCCAGCGTCGCGCACTATCAGCTCCCACAACCACGGCAAGTAGTGTCTCGTCTGAAGATAGAATACCCGTAAAGCGCTGCTGGTTGATCCCGGGGGATTCGGACATGGATGAATGAACAAATGGGGCGTAGGCCTGTGTTCAGCCCTTCTAGACCGCACTTTATTCATAGAGCTGACTTGTCCTCACCGTACTTAATCACATGCATTTGCTCTTCCATCTGAATGAGAAAACCAAATCCACTAAGGTCCCAGGAAAAACAGTAGCTCTTACCCGATCGTCAATTATTGCAGAAAGGCACAGGTAGTCGAAAATTTCAGTACATTGCCTCCAAACCATTGCGGATCCATATTTCCGTAAACATTCTTCGTAGAAGCCATACACTGTGGTGATTTGTCTACTTTCGTGATTACCACGTATGAGAGTTATGCGATCAGGATACCGAACCTGGATAGAAATGACAAACCAATCAGAGGACAAACCTTCAATGCCAACAACAAAAGAAACGTCTCGACACTGTAATAGCCACGGTCAACGAAGTCACCGAGAAACAAGTAGTTCGTGTCAGGAACATCGCCTCCAACTTTGAAAAGTTCAATCAGGTCATAAAACTGACCGTGAATATCGCCACAAACCTGAATACACGAGTATAGTGGTCAAAAGCTGAACTACGAATCCCTTACAGTTACGGGGGAATCCACGCACTGAACGTTGCTCTCTTCTATAAGTATCTCTCGGGCTTTGGCGCAGAGGGATTTAACCTCATCCTCGGTTATGAGTTTGCACGCCCTTAGCTGTTCAATCTGTCTGTCTAAATCACTCTGGGACGCCATATGGTTCACCTCTCGGAATGTGAATCGAACGACCCGCCTTGATTAATAGCTACATTCAGTTCACAAATAGGTGATGTGCCTTAATAATACAATGCTTCCATCCACAAAAGCCTTTGGAGTGGAATGAAACTTTTTAAACCAAAACTTTGCATTCTATCGCAATTTTGCGCAGGCCAAAATTCATTTACCTTTTGCTTGTTTCCGAAAATTACTCTGCCTTCCAAATTTTTATGGCGCGTTCGACTCTGAACTTGCGTTGTGGCTTGGCCGCTAGTATTCGCACAATGGAACTGGGTGTTCAAAAGCTACGACTTGTCCCTGATGGACGCAGAGAGACGAGCGACTGAGTTCGGAGTACCGGCTAAATCGGTCGAGCCCGATCTGTGCATCACAGGGTTGCAGGAAAGCATTCCACGGGACTTTTTCCCATAAGGTATTATTGCTTCAATGGACAATTGAATTCGGTGGGCTGCGAAAGTAGGAACATAGATTACGATGGCTTTTGGTATGAGCACACAAAACATAATACAACATTCTGGAGGGTTTCATAGCTGAAAGCATTGTGCGGCTAATGGGCCATCATGGCCTCAGAAACGTTTTCTTGGTAAATTTAAGGCTGTACCTTTTTCCTCGTTTGCGGATTAAAACAGGGTGCTAAAGGAATACCTAAAGCATAACTACGTGATATTTGTGCTGTTGAATAAGTGGCGCATATTGGTGTGTCATTATGGTGGATGATACCTCCGCGGTTCTGGCGAAACTCTGCGAGAGCGAACGTGCAATTGTGCTGTAGGTGAAAGAATGTCACTAAAGCCATATTTTCTTCTTCGCATGGCAGTGGCTAGCGTTGTTCCGGCGCTTTCCGGATTTATTAAATGTCAATGGGATGAACGCGACAACTTATATCTGACGTTTAGATATATGCCGTACAGCGTCCCGATCACGGGTGGTACGCGTACGGGGCGTCCGGTTCTGTATGCATTCGTGAGATAGGAACAATTTTTCCCATGCATAAACTGATTGACTTATTAGGGAAAGGTTGAGACTGTTGCCATGGACAAGCCGGATGCACAAATTCGGCAGAAAGAGGGGTGGTCGGCTGCGATGCCATTTTGTACTTTTTTCATGCTAGAAATGCCATCAGGAAGCACGTATGCATCCGATATCACCCATGTATTTTTTGTTAGAGACAGTGCGAGTAGCCGGCACATATTCCATGGTATGGCTTGCTTAAACGATCCCGTAGAGTAGATGATTTAGCATAATACGATCACATCGATTTCGGCAAGATCTGTAACTATTGCGTCGAGCGGGCTCGAAATTCGTCTCACATATTGCGGCTCACTGGTTTTGTATCAACCACAAACGGGCTGCCTACGCGCGATTCGGGAGGGTCCACTTAATTAGCACGACGACTAGTCGTCTGGAGAACGACAGTTGTTGCTTAACAAGGCGGGCCTGACTACTGGGATCGCGTACTCTGCCGCGTCAGCCATCTTAAAGTAAAGCGTTACTTCTTTGCGGTAAGGATTTCTAAGTTTTCCTCTAAAGTCCCTTCAAATGCGACTAGTTTTTGCTGTGCTAGGACCCTTCGTGAAGGCACACAGCTGCAGCTGGCAGTCTACAATGCAGCTACGCTGTTGCTGAACAGTGCCTTTGCAAAGGAGCGCAGCGTAATACAACTTAGAAATTCGTGAGCGTCAGAATTTCGACTCCATGGGAGCAAATTCGAAGCTGTGATCTGCTGGTCATCTTGCCAATTCATATCAGGAACCGCTTAATCCCTGCGCCGCCTAATGAATTTTGAATATTCTTTCCGTTAACTTGTCGAAGTTGAAGTGTGTTTTTGATTATGGTGCACTTGAGCGCTCATTATTCGGCGAACAGAATCGATCTCTAGGAAACTACAATGTTTACAAGATCGCTACTCCATAGTCAAGAATGCCTGCGACCAACGTGTTTTCCTGCAAATTCTGTGAACGTTAAGCCGGTTTAATTCACGGAATCTTTAGCCATCAGCTACCCAGAATAGAATAACGGTGTCTAATGAAATGGGACATTTCGACTTGCGTCAAAACTTTAATCGTATACAATGAACGAAGAATGCAAGTTTTTCTGCAGCTATAGTTTAAAATGCAAATGCCGAATCATACCAGGTTTCATTTCCGAACCAATGAAATTCCAGGTGGTTGCTGCTAGAGATACACATGGTGGGCTGCTCATTGTAGGGCGTACCACTGGATCCCAACCCAAATGAATGCAAATTCTACCCTTGAAAATCGGTCACTGAGGGTTGTTTGTTTTACACTCCTCAGATGTAACAAATAAGATGATTTTGTTCGGCGAACCCGGTCACAACACATTTTCCCATGGATCTCAACTTCCATTGAGTGCAACGTTGCTAGAAAACAGCATGAACTGAACTGCAGTGGAGATGCGAGGGCCGTCTCTGTAGACGATCCTTTGCCCAGATATGCATAACCAGCTTGCAGATAATACAGCGTTACGGGATGGCTGCATGTATCATTCCTACCATGAATATGACTCTCTGTAGGTATACCACCATAAAGTGTTCGCCATGATAACGGTAGCCGTTATCACTAGCTTTGACCGCTTATTGTGATTGTCTGGTCCGTGTCTATATGCAACGCTGATTATGCGGCCTCACCTGTGCACGGTAGCCTAATCCAATGACCGAAGACGGACCCTTATTGTTCGGGGGCCAGCCTTCCCTAATAACCGAACAGCACATCATTTCGACGGATGTGTCACGTGTAAGACACGGACCAAACGAAGGCATGCCTTGATTGGCCAGAATGCAAGCCAATCCGAGTCAAGTATCAGTGACTCGACACTTTTCGTCCTCTCACGGAGATTCTGGCACACATCATTTCGATGTGTCACGTGTAAGACACGGACCAAACGAAGGCATGCCTTGATTGGCCAGAATGCAAGCCAATCCGAGTCAAGTATCTATCACTCGACACTTTTCGTCCTCTCACGGAGATTCTGGCACGACCTTGTGGAACACACCGTGACTACCCAATAAGTACAGTTGTGCTAATTTTCCTTTGTCTCCATAAAGGGCTGTGTAGAGCTACCGTGCCTTTTGATATACCATAGTGGGCGGAGCAGGAAGTCAAGGGACAGACACACAGTTGCACTACTGTCAATCAAGACATAACAATTGGCGACAACCCGAACCCACGATGTCAGTTTCGGCAGAGCAACTCCAATTAATTTTACAGCAACAACAGAAACAGTTCGAAGAAGCTCAAATGAGGTTTGTTGAATCTCTGATGCGCAATATGTCGGTGAACGCGACAAAAGCGTTTGAGCCTCAGTCTTCTTCCGCAGATGCCGCTGCCAGCTCGATTACCGAATTCAATTTTGATGCTGAATCTGGACGAACTTTCGAAAGTTGGTTGAAGAAATATGAAGACATGTTTCAAACGGACTTTGCTCATTTTAATGACGCATGGAAAGTTCGACTGTTGTTGCGGAAACTGGGGATAGCTGAACACGATCGGTTCACAAATTTCATACTCCCCAAACACCTTCGTGACCTTGGGTTCGCAGATGCTGTCAAAAGTCTGGCCCAAATATTCGGTGAGCAAAGCTCCTTGTTCAGTATTCCTTATCAGTGTCTCAAGATTACCAAAAGCGATACTGAGGATTTCATCACATATCCGGTGTGGTCAACAGAGAATTGGAGCGCTTTCAGTTCAGCTCCATGACCGAGGATCAATTCAAGTGTCTCATCTTTGTGGCTGGTCTTCAATCACCACACGATGCAGATATTCGGACCCGGCTACTGATTCGAATTGAACAGGATCCAGAGTGGACGCTTCAGAAACTTACCACCGAATACCAGCATCTTATCAATCTCAAGGCTGATGCTGCAATGACTGGACATTCCAAATTCTCTCAGCCTGATATGGTA